ATTATTTTCATGCTGAAAGTTCCAGTTCTCGTTTAAAACACCCAGCTATCCCTGACCACAATCGAAACAGTTAAAAAACATCATATTTAATTTTAACAACTCTAACTGTACTGCGACGAGAAGAAAGGTTAACGACGACGATATGAACTCTGAATTTGTACCTATATACCAATCGGTTTCTGGATKCCTTTCTCTTTCGAATTCACTCCTCTTGCTCTCAGTTGGAGGTGCAATTTTCTTTTCTCCTCGAAAGGCTCTATCGGTCCTTCTAGACTACAAGAATTCATACTACAACCATTCGTATCGGCTCGAATCTCACGTCATTGACTTATCGGATCTGGAACTCATCCGAGGATCTTTGAACCATGAAGATTCCATTGGCAGCGCATGCGACATGATGGCAGCTGTGATCTTGGCACAGGGACTTGGATGTATTATGATGTTGTACCCGTTGATATCGAGAGGATCTTCCTCTGCACTGGCAATATGGAACCTTCGGACGTCAATCACCATTCAGCTCATAACAGGATTATTATGGATTGTCAGTGCACTCTATGACGATAGAGGCAACGAAGCGGTTTTAGTGAMTAAAAAGAAATACGTCGGATTTTACAGCCAGGCCCATGGAGACCCCATTGTTGGGGCTGTGCAACGCCGAACGACGTTTGGTCTTTTTCTGATTGGTTTTGTGATGTTTATCACTGCTTGTTTAGGCATGATGATCAGTTTCTGGCCTGTGGCAACTGCAGAAAATACCAGATTACATAGTGAAAGAAGCGAAATGAGCAGAGAGAGGACCAGGCACCAAGAATCAGTCGATGGAAATGAAGATCTGACTGCACCGTTGCTTCCAACAGCCCAAAATTTTGAAAATACTTCGCAAACTTCATTGCAATATGAAGAAGACAATTCCGACCAGCTCCAAGCTTCAAATTGTGACGAAACAGCCTCCAACATAGCAGAGGGATGTACCCTAGTAGACGAACAAGAATCAGAAGACCTGGAAGTGCAACAACAATGTGTCGAGGCAGAGAATAATGAGAGCAATATAAACGAGAGCGATAACACGAATAATTTCGACGAGCCAAACTCACGAATCCGCGGGACACAACGGCTTTTGGCAATTGCAGCTCCACAAGTCATATATCTTTATGTCGGCTGCATCACACTTCTGATTCGACTTCCATTTTCTTTGTCCATTCCTCATTTTGTTAGTACAACGCTGGGAGCGCTTGCAGATGGTGAATACCACCGTGCAAAAACAGAAATAGTTTGGTTGTTTGTACTGGGTACCATCGATGCATTCTTGGATTTTTGGTGTATATTCTGTAAGTCGTTCATTCTAGAATCTGTCCAACTAGAGCACTCGTTCAAGTTGCAAGTTAGAATATTGTCTAGATCTAATAATGTGGCCAATGCTTCCGTTCCAAATGTAATTATAGGGTTTGGATACGCGAATCAACGAATTGTCAGGGAAATTCGAGTAGACACGTTTCTATCCATTCTGAAACAGGATATTGGATTTTTCGATTGCCAAACATCTGGTGAATTAGCCTCTCGGCTCAATTCAGATTGTGGAGAAATGGCTGGTGATCTGGTACGTAAAAGATGAATTGGAGTTGATAAAATCGTCGACGTTCTCGTCCGCCTTTGCTACTGTCATTTCTTGTTTTGTACTGAAATGCATGACTTTCCTGCCTTATTTATTCTTCTATCCGTTTTAATGGTTGACGCAAACTTTCGAATTAGACTTGGTTCTTTCGTTTCAGTATCGAGAGTGTGGTACGAGTAACTGGAATAACTGCATATATGTTACTAAGAAGTCCAAAGCTTGGAGCTTGTGCCATATCGATTGTCCCGTTAGTTGCCGTCGTCAATAAGCATTATGGAAATTGGCTTAGTCATAATGCGGCAAAGGTCCAAGACTCGTTGGCAGCTGCCAATTCTGTAGCACAAGAGACTCTTGGGTCTATCCGTACTGTTGTTGCATTTGCATCGGAAGAATCAGAATATAATAAATACAGGGAACGCATCGACGAGCAATACCGTCTAAATATACGACAAACATATATTCAAGGTATTTATTATATGGTGAGAAAAGTTGGACGGCTTTTCATGCTCAGCGATCACTCAGCCTTATTATGAACGAAATATTCTTTATTGTATCACTCACCTAATTTGATTCAATCTTTTTTCTGGTTTTTAGTTTGTCTCTACGTTTCTCATAAATACAATCGTTCAAGGCACTCTATTGTTTGTTGGATCAGTCATGATCCAGCAGGGAATTTTGACTAGTGAAATCCTCTTGGCATTCATGTTATATCAAGGACAACTGCAAAACGAAATGATGAACTTGTTCAACAGTTATTCTTCGTTAGTAAAGAGTACGGGCGCAGGAGATAAGATATTTGAGCTTTTAGATCGAAAACCTCCTCCTCCCGGCATTGGAAGTCAACAGGTACAGATGAGATTGGGAAGCGATGCCCAAATCAATGACGAGTCTATAGGTATCCGATTCGAGAATGTTGAATTTTCTTACCCGTCAAGACCCGAACAACTTATCTTGAGAAATATGAATTTGGATATCTGTGCCGGGAGTACGTTTGCGTTGGTAGGCCCTAGTGGCTGTGGTAAGAGCACTATTGTGAATTTATTACAAAGATTCTACGACGCATCTTCTGGACGCATCCTAGTTGATGGACAGGATATACGGTCTCTTGATCTGAAACTTCATCGCCATCGTATTGGCATCGTAACACAGGATCCAATCTTATTTTCTGGCACAATTTTGTCTAACATAATGTATGGGATGCCAAATGCAACAACGGAAGACGCTATAGATGCAGCTAAGCGTGCCAATGCTCATGACTTCATATCCGACTTTCCGAAAGGCTACGAAACGCAGGTAAGTTTTTGTTTGAAGTCGGTGTCTTATTCTCTTATGTTTGCCGTTGCCTCGACTCTTTGTTCAATTTCAACATGTGACCAATATGATATGTATGTATATGGTATAAATAGGTCGGTGAGCGAGGATTGCAGCTTTCAGGTGGCCAGAAACAGAGGTGAGTTGCTTCTGTGGAAACTGCAATAATGATAGATCTTATTTTTTGGAAAATTGCGATCAATCGAACAATATCTGTTCAACTATGACTTCAACTGACTCTTAACTTGTCTTGATTAACACTTTCAATTGTAGAATCGCTATTAGTAGAGCAATCATTCGTCATCCCTCTCTTCTCCTTCTCGATGAAGGTAAGTACCGCAAATGCTTGGTACAAAAATATCGTAATACGAAAAATTCATGTACATTTTCTTTCTTTCTACAACTTGATTTGATCAAAGCCACATCAGGTATGTAATCCCGCGTCCAACTATAGTACACGATAGAAATTCTCAACGAGAAATTGTCGAAGCTTATGTTCATCTTTCTGTTTACATGTCCCTATATCTCTCAGCCCTCGATGCGGATTCCGAAATGGTGGTGCAAAAGAGCATTGACAGTCTTTTGAAACAAAGTAAATCCATAACAACAGTAGTCGTTGCACATAGGCTACGCACTGTCAGGAACGCAGATTGCATTGGAGTGATTAAAGAGGGGCAAATCATTGAAATAGGGTGCCACACTGAGCTGATGTCTATTGAAAAGGGGTACTACAGGAGCATGATCGAGAAGTCGATGGGCGATAAGATTGCAGTTGACTAAAAAATCCACCCCTCCCAATTCATAAACAATCGCTGCATGTTGGTAATCTTTTTTTGGATTTCAATGATTGCCGAGAACTTACCACTGTTTCAAAACCCCACAAGGGTATTCCTGTCATARTGTGCATGGTTTCGCTTCAATCGTTCATTCCGTTCATTCTAATTCGTTTCTTATACAATTGCACTGACGTCGTGCCTGTCTGATATTTCCAATCCGACAACACCCAGAACTATCATGAAAAGACAAACAATTTTTGTTGCATCTAAACGCTCACCAAAAAATACGACTCCTGCGACAGAAATGATAGCAGTGCCAAAAGCGGCCCAGACCTTAAAGTAGAAGAACGCAAAATAGTGAATACAAGTTTTCAGCGACGAAGTCATGATATCCCACATAAACCTTTTCTTTGTCGCACTAGGACTTACTGCGTAGGCGATACTGACGTCAATTGACTTTAGGGAGACCGCAAACCCACCAAGGCTGCATTTGATTATCGAAGTTCCGCATAATAAAGTTAGTAAAACGAGGAGATTGAGACTATCKCAACTTGGAGAAAGACTCGCGCCTATCCTCACCTTATAAAAAAACCCAAAAATGAGAGCGCCAGTTTTTTCAACGACGACTCGGCCTGTGCAGTTTTCATAAGTGTGACAGAGCAAGTGTCTGCGAGGACAGAAAGCGCTAAAACTGCCCAGGATCTATTTTTATTTGAACCAATGTATTCGTTGAAATCCGAGGCGATGGATATAATTCCACCACCTCTRATCCCAATCAAAGAGGTGATTCTTTGGGGATCGCGAACCAAAAATCCCTTAGGCTCAAATTGTAATCCTCTCATGTCAATGCTTCCGCTTGTCCCAAGACTAGGTGGGAGCCTAGACGACGAGGGGCAAACTGTCCCAGACACCAGCCCTATGACTACCAGTAGCATCACAGCACACAACGAAGCTCGCCATGTTAAAGCTCTAAAGATCAAAATTCCATGCCTCATCACGTCATGAATGATAAGTTGGTTTCACTTTTGAAACGTGAGGACTTCAAAGAAGTTAGCTTCTCAGTAACCGTTGAGCAGCTCAACATTTCCATGTACTCAGCGCGCGTGGTAATTTTTAGGTACATGATTTGTTGAGCAAAGTACATGCACCTCAACTGGTTACAAACCACACCATCTGAATTTTGTAACCAGAATTTTGTAACCAAACCCTTTCCTAAGGAGAGCCCATATTTTTGCACAATACTACTCTACTACTGGTAGTGTATTTTTGCACAATACTACTAGTAGTGTGGTTTTTTTAAAAAAGGGTCTGGTTACAAAAAAAGCGCACTGGTGCGCTTTTGTGCACATGTAGTAACCAGGCAAATGCACCTCAACAGGTACACTGCAGGTACACTGTTAAGTACAAAACAGGAACTTAATTGGGAACTTAGTACAAACTCATGTAGAAAATATAGTAGAAATTGCAATTCGGCAACTCAAGCAGCTCATCCTCATCCGTATTAGCGCCTCCGTACCAGGAACTCGTATCGTATCAGCGCTGCTGGTGGCGCCTCCGTATCAGGGAGCCTCCTCCATATCGTATCAGTAGCTCCTCCAAATCAGCAACTCATTGTATCAGCCTCCTCCATATCAGTGGCTCCTCCACTGTATCGTATCAGCAGCTCCTCCACCTTATTGAATCAGCGGCTCCTCCGCCTTATCGTATCAAGGAGCCTCCTCCATATCGTATCAGCGGCTCCTCCGTATCAGCCACTCGTATCAGCATCGTCCGTATCAGCGACTTGCTGTATCAGCGTCCTCTGTTTCAGCAATTGGCTGCTGAGTACATGGTAATGTTGAACCGCTTCAACGGTTATGTAAATAACTGTGGAAGAGCTCTGCTTTCAGCGCAAGAAGTATCTTCAACAAACTCTCGAGCTAAAGCTCTCTAGCTTGTTGAAGATACTTGCAGTAACCTCACTTCAATCTCAATCTCAAGCTCTCAATCTCAGTGATGTTACTGGTGTACCAAAATTGTACCAGAAAATGTACTCTGTTGAGCTCTGTGTTAACATATTATTTTTGTTAAGATGGATCAAAACGGCAACACCAACAAATGCTGCAGGGTTGGTACTGCCAACTACTCTGAAGAAGAGCTAGAGAGCCTCATGGATTTGATACTAGAGGTACTCCCCATCAATGCAGAACAGTAGAATACTGTGGTCACCAAGAAGCATGCTGCAAACTATCCCTTGACAGAAGCAAGAAATCTATTAGTAGGAACAAGTAAAGTTCTGTGAAAAGAAGGAGAAGCTCTACCAGTAACCCCAATATGCCTAGGTATGTGAAGCTTGAAAGGCAGGCCCATTTCTTCATTGGTAAGAAACCAAATATTGGTACTGGAGAGGAGGACTTTGATGTGAAGAAAGGCTTCATTAAGAGTGAGACTGGGGAGGGTTTGGAGATCAAGACCTCCCCTACTGTAGGGTCCATTGGAGGAGGAGCACCCATTATCCTTGCTGGTGATGGAACAAGTGACAAGTCATCAACATTGCCACCATCCATTGTACAATTGGCTACTCYGAAGAAGAGATCATATGGAAAAGTTCCTGATAGTGCTACATTCAATGAGTATGCATYTGAAGAGCCAGCAGGAGAGAGACAACAAGAACAGTGAGATAGCTAAAGAGCATTCTAAGATTGCTAAGGAGGCAAGCCAAATTGCTAAAGAGATCAATCAGATGTGGAAGGACGCTCTCAGAATGACAATGGCTTGCTTCCAGCAATGGCAAAGCAGCCAGCAGCAGCTTCTTCTAAGTGGCAACAACATCAACAAGAATAATGCTTACCAAGCAGCCAGCAGCATCAAATGCCCCTGTAAGGGGGAGGAATTCCATGGTGAAGGTGGAGGAATGATCCTATAATTTGCACATGATATATCACGCTGTAGTAGGGATTATACTTATTCCTGCCCTATTTTCCTGTATGGATTTTTGTGCATACCAATGTAGGATTAGAAACAGTTTGTATCAGCATGCACATGTAGTCTGCATTGGCATGCACATGGAGTGTATCTGCATAAACTTGTCTTCATTGCAGTATCTATGAACTTATATTCATTACAGTATAAGTCAATATATAGCTACATTGTTGTGTATGAAGCAACACATCATCAGGCTCAAGAAGGATGTACACAAAAACCAGAAAGTAACAACTCACAGCTTACAGCTTGCTCCCCCCCCTCAGCACAGTTCATTATTTGAATACAAGTACTGGTAATAGTACTACTAAAAGCAGTCTGTACACGTACCACCAATTAAATAATGCTTAAGGAAACCAACCATTAGAGCTCTTTCCACCATGAGGGTTAGATGAGCTCTAATAGTTAGTGCAACGACAGTGTCCATTGATTGCCGTATTGCCATATTGCGTCAATTGTTGCATTTGGTATTTGTGTTGATTGTTCTGTTTGCTAATTACAGTTGAGTTTGCCGCTTACTAAACGCCCATGTTAAACTTTCTTTTTCCCACCACCAAAATGAACCAATCAACCATGGGATTCCCTCAAAACAAGCCATTTGCGTCCAGAGACAACTCACAACCTACATACTAGAAGAAGCCTGTTGCAAGATCATTTTTCTTGTAGGGTTCTTCCACACCAGTCACTGCTGGTGTCTTCATGAAGGTGGATAGGATCTGGTTATGTCTGATATTGCTAGTACATTTGTATTTGTAGAGGTTGATCAACCCCAACCCCAACAAGTTCATGATGATCTTTCTGTCTCCAAGCTCCTCCAAGAACATCCTGTCTTTGAGTCTTGGAAATTGTCCTAGAATCATCCTCATCCCCCACTCAGACATCTGCCTCAACAAGGACATGGTATCCCTATTGATAAGAAGGAGGTTGTCCTTCTCAGGGTCCTGCTGCAAGCTCTTGATGAGGATATGCTCCTTATCTTTCAATACAAATGCCGAATCCACCACAACCTTTGCATTGGACTGGTCATGGACCTCCCAATCCTGCCATAGACCCTATGGTCAGCAACAGCACTATCATGCCAAGGGCCAGGACAGTTGAAGATTGAGATTMTAATTCTACCATCTGGTGCAAAGACAAAMACACYKTTGACAAAGGTGTTCTCCTTCCAGTCCTTGTCAAATGCTCTTTGTTTAAGTCAGTCTTCAGAGGCTTCAATAGCACTCTTGAGTCCATCAGGAGCAGCCCAAATGTGTTGTTCTCCAAGCCTTGAATACTTGTCTCCATTAGCCTTAACATAAGCATCCACTTCATGCTCAGTTGGAACACTGATCATGGTGTCTGGGTGTTTGTGAAGAGCAACAAGCATCACTCTCTGTGAAAACTTGAGCCACTTGTACATCACTGTGGATTTCAATACAAATGCCATTGCCATTGATCTGGCAGCTGATCCTCTTGTTCTGTACTAATAGAGAGGATCAGCCCAATAGCACAGACTGCATCGGCCTCCCTCTTCTTCCCCTTGGACTTGCCACTGGGATAACAAGGAACTTCTGCAATCTCATTGTTGTTGTTGTTGACAGTAAACTTGTTGTATACTGGAGCAAACACGCATCAACAAGCTCCCTGAAGACCTTGTGGTCTATACCACAACAGTTAAGTAGTGCTAGGTTGTCCCCTGAGTGAAAGGGATGTATGAAGGGGGAATTGGCGTATCTCTGGATTGCAATTTGTGGTGTTCTTCTATCCCTCCTCCAACACTCTTCTGGAGTGAGTGTTAAATGTACCAGTAGATCATAATGACCTCCACTACTCCCATTGTGGCCYTCTTTCTTGCTAGTGGGAAAGTCTGGTCTTTTAGTATGGGTAGTAATTGTTTGTCATTGACTAGCTAGTGCAAGGAAGAAACATATGTTGGATACTATGAGAGTATCGAGAATGTGCTTGTTCCTTCTACTAGCGTATGGATCTAAAATTTCATGTTTTTTTTCTCTACTACCAAGAAGTGGCACGCGTGCCTCTTTCTTTTAGTCATTTTACGTCAGTGCATACTAGTAAAAATTCCATATTCCTAAAAAGACTGCAACAAAGGCGGGCTTCATCTCAGTCTGTCAGTTGAAATTTTGATCCCTGTTATTCTAAATACCCTAGTACTAGATCCCTACATTTAGCCCTTTAGAGTATTTAGAATAACAGGAATCATCCAGTATCTTCTGATGATTGTTTTGATTGAGTTGTTTTTTATGGTAAGAAAGGGTTATTCCTGTTAGTAGAAGGTTGAAATAGATTTCATCAAGACTTTGTACAGTATGGTACACACATGCCGGAATGTAATACGAGGTACTAGTAATTTGGAGTAAAATGTGTTGAGGGACAAACATCATGTRGGTCAATATTTGGAAGAGATTGGCCAACATATCWTGGTAATATTTGGGACACAAAGTATGCTGGATGAAAATTGTGTGTTATTAAGTTTTAGAACTAAAAAGAACAATGGGAAGCTTCAAGAGTCAGAATCTATTAAGCTGGCAACAAATGTCATTTCAATTGTGTGCCAACTTCAAGGAGAAGGCATCAGAACTTCAAGGAGAAGATCAGGACAATGGCCAATACTATTCTTGGACAATGACTGATACACAGGAATGAGTTAGTGAGTTGTGAGAGTTGTGTCTATTAATTGTTCAAACAGGCACAAGTGACTAATGTTTGGCAAGACCAAATGAGAATCATTGGGATGATGCTACCAATTTTTGATGCAAGAAGGTAACACCTCAGTGTTCTTATTAATTTATGATCTAGTCAATAGGATTTATGATTTCTCTTAACSGCTTTGTACTGTTACRTAAATTAATACTAAGGAAGAATAGCAAAGAAGAAGCTGATACCAACTACAACATGTATCCCCAGCAGCAGATAACTTGAATTCAAGAATCCATTGTTATTGTCTTACTAAGTGAGTTGTCCAAGGACCCCACAAAACATCATACAATGGAGTCCAAAGACAGTTGCAAGGCTAAGGCAGTACTAGCAAATGACTGGAGAACAGTCAGCAACAAATGATCAGGGGGTCAAAACTCCTCCAGAAAAGGCAACACAGCAAGGAAGATTGGTAAAGCTCCAAACAAGAAGTTCAGTGGACACAATAAAGAAAACCTCAAGGGAGTGGTCCTGACTGAGGATGGGAGCATCAGCCAGTTCACTGACCTTCAAGATTGACTGCAAACAATTGGTGGATCAAAGTACATGCCACCAAAGGTAGCCACCTCCATTTAAACACTACTAAGACAATTCACCAGCATCATGTTTGTGCCAACCAAACCATTGCCATCAAATTGGACTGTGAAGRGCATGTTTGAGAACAACATRAAGAAGACACTTGAGGACATATAAGGAGGAGGTAAAGCAAAGTGTGAAGGAATTTACCACATAGTACTGAAATTGAGAAAGTTTACATGCTGCCCGCACTTGGGCAAATTCTTGACAACAGTGGAATGAAGAAAAAGCTGAAGAGCAACAGGAGCAGGTGGGAGAAAATCAACCTTGATTGAGCTGCTAAAGCTGCTCAGGAACATCACACTACTATGCTTCAGAGGGAACAAGACCAAGAGCGAGGATGCATGTCCCCACAAACCAAATTAGTACTAGTTGATCCTTCAGAAAACTAAATTGCTCACATCAGAGAGCAATGGATTGCACAACCTACATGCAAACCATAATCCAACACAGTGACTTCCTTGAATTGACTTGGGGCATGTACATATGTCCAGCCCTTCTTAAGCACAAACTGGAAACCAATGATGATTACTACAACAACTTGTACTACCTGCAAATCATGCCAAGTGGAGACAAACAGAAAACCAAGATTAATCATGGGGCTTTCCAACAGGGTATCTCTATAATGGATGGAAAGAAGTGACAAAGAAACAAACAAACTTAAGGAGAAGCTTAGCTAGTGGTGGTAGCAACCAATTTAACCTTCTTCTTGGTTCTTTCAATCACTAGTACTAGTACTACTACTAGTAGTAGTACCCTTGTTGTGAAAAGGTTCTCCTCTGAATAACCACCAGCATCATGCAATTGTGTGTGAATGAAAAGAAACTATTTCACATGTGGGTAGAGAGAAAATGAAAGCCTTTTGAACAAACCAACAAGTCTTCAAATTTTGGTTTGACRAGCAACATTCTTCTTGCTGAGGAAAGAAAAGCTTCTCTGAATAACCACCAGCAGTATGCACTTGTGTGTGAATGAAAAGAAACTCTTTCACATGTAGGTAGAGAGAAAATGAAAGCCTTTTGAACAAACCAAGTCTTCAAATTCTGTTTGGRCATTGCTGAGGAAAGAAAAGCTTGTAAGCAGTTTGCTCTTGCAGTTTACTGAGAAGTTTGACATTCATAACCTGTTTTAAAGTCAGCGCGAACAGGAAAGAAACGCAGGCCTCGTACGTTCAGTGCTTCGGGGTGCCTGGATTACTACCATTAAATAATTGTTACATTGTCGCACATGAAAGTTACGGAAGATTGTCTCCCGAATGACATCAGCCATCGCATTTCGATTTTCAGAGCAAATTAGATATAAGCCTGCAATCGGAACTTCGGCTGTTCCGAGGTATTGTTGGGAAGTATGTCTATCAACACTCATCTACTGCTTTTTCGACTTGAGAACCAAAATTTACGTAACATCAGGTTGGTCCTTGTCGACAAGTAACGAATAGAAGTTCCTGCTGTTGCCATCGAAGCAGTGCTCTCTAGGTACCAAGTACTGGTATGCCACAATGTGAATTATGATTTCTTGTGCAGGTATGTAAGTAATCGCACTTGTACCCTTAAAGAACCTCGTACCGTGAAGAGTTGACAAACAAAAAGAAAGTGAACAAGACTATCATCAGAACACCACTGAGTCAAACGGAATCAAGATGGCGCGTCAAGTAGCACGTATACGAAAGTCTTCTTTCAAGAAACTTACTTTCGAAAACGATAGAAGAGAAGGCGAAACGAAAAGTGTCCAGTTTGGCACAATAGAAATAAGGGACTACTCTCAATGCTTGGGGGACCACCCAGATGTCAACAGAGGAGCTCCTGTTTCTTTGGATTGGGACTATCAATCGGAGCAATCATACGATATCGAGGAGTACGAGCAGAGATACTTCCGGAAGAAGAGAACTCACCAGCAAATGATTCGCCTTGCGTTCGAAAGGAAACACATATTAAAGACATTAGGATACTCAGAGGAAGAAATCGAGACACGGAGCAAGAGTGTGAAGAAAGATAGAAAGAAACGCTCACAAACGAGGCAGACGATGATTTTCGAGCCTTTCATAATGATATCGGAGAAAACGCAACGATGGATGACTAAGAGGAAAGCTATTAAGAACAAGAAAAATAGTATTCATAAACCAAGAAGATCATCCTCTCATGATAGCTTGACTGTCATCTCGAATGAATCAGARTGGAGTACCTATTCTCGGAAATTTATCTCTGATGAGTTAACTTTATGCGAGCAGTAAGAATCCGAAATAATTATGATGACGGTCTCAACCTTGGGAGATAATATTCCTTGTGCTAAATATGCCATCTTGCATGAATACGAAGCACAATGTCAAATAGAAGATACGAAACACCCAACACTATGGGAGGTTCATGTGCCCTGTACTAATGGTGGTGCCAAGTTGTATGAATACGAAGAGCACTTTGTACTAACGTTGGTATCATGTTGCACCTACTTTGTATGGTGATTGAAACGAAACAAAAGGGTCGAATTATCAGTTTTGGGACAGTTCATACCTTTTGCTGACGCAAAACCGAGATAGGTGCCAGAATAGATCATATACTGTAAATTACCATTCTTGTGTGTGATAGAATTTGGATATTAAATGATAAGCATTTGGTTGTTTGCCCCATTCTCTAGTTACGCCCAGTAGCAAATTCTAAAGCAGTATACGTTTGTTTTGAGTCTCACGTTAAAATTTTAGCATCAGGTCATTTTCATCGAGAGCCTTTGATTGTATCAACACATGAATGCGGTATTCACTCAATGCATCGGTCCCTCCCATCACTGCGTCACAAGATTAATTTCAAATTCACACAAGAATTAGGCAATTCGATCCTCAATCATATCCTCAACGCCTTCTCTTCTGTTTTCGTCTCTTGGGCTTCGATGTTCTATTTGCATTCGTATTGGATTTTACTGAACCAAATTGGTGAAGATCTTCTTCCCCAACATACGTCGCGCCCTCGCAAACGTACGCACATTTCAAGATCACCCTTCGACCGCGTTTGAGAGATGTTACGCAATGATCAGGCCCGCCRGCCAGCAAAATCAACATTGAATTAGGGTGCGTTTCTTGGCTTTGGATTATATCATTGTTGGTTTCACCGGCGGTACCTTCGCCCTTATCAGGAACCCACATCGTGACGCAATCTGAATCATTCTCTAAGGTGAAGACAACTTCGACCTGAGGAGGATCGTAAAGAATATCATCCTTATGCCAGGCCATTGAGGCTCCAACTTGCTCGTATGTACGAACTTCCACAGGTACCTCACGCGCCAATTCAATCTTAGTGCCCGAAGAACTCGCAAGTCGTTGGACTAATGTGTGAATCGACCCCTTCTCTAGTATGCAAATTGTCTCATGCGCGTTGTCACTTGACAAAGTGGCACCAAGTCGGTTTTGTGCAATGGAGGAACGTTCTTTTGTCAGATCACGTTTCATAACGAGGAAAATCTCACTTCGAATTGATTCCATCTCTTGGGTTGTGCAAACCGACTGCCGATAGGAAACTCCCCCATCTTTTTCCAGCCTTGATATGATGCTTTTTGAATCACAAAAAGGGCGGTACGAACTCAACTGCAAGTGAGATATCGCACAGCTCACCAATCTGGAATGATAAAGGAGATTCAAGGAATTGCGTTGTAGGAGTCCCAGGCAATATTCGATATTCGACGACACTGACAAGAAGATTATGATGCCAACGCACAAAGAATATCTAATCGAGAACTTTGGCAAAGAAGGAAAGATCCATCTCTTCTGTCGCCTGCTTGTCCTACCAAGAATAGGTGTGTCAATCATTGGTTGTTGCACCTAATCGTCTCCTCCTGGCTCCATCTCTTTCAGGAAAAGTGCTCGATCCAGGTAGTTACTATTGCAAGCACGTACTGATCCTTGACGAAAGGCGACGATCTCTCTTGCCGAAAAGAAAGAAAATTAAGGCAACCACTACTGTATCGTAGGAAAATGAACGGAATCGTGTCGTACGTTCCTACTTTACAATGATGCCATACTACAGTACAAATACTCGTACTCGTAATTCGTAATCGTACGTACGAGTACTGTCGTCAGTCGTCACTAAAATCGAAACCTGAAAAAAATCACTTAGCTACCGGTAGTACCGGTACGTCTAACTTCTTTCAGTAGATTTTTAGAGCAGAGCAACTTCCAAATAATACCCGTGTACWGGTGTCATGGCATTAGTCGAGATGAACCTGAAAAGTACGTAGTACCGTAAGTACGGTAGATCAGGGGTGCTCAGATTACAGATGTCAAACCCTTGTCACGGGTACGAGTAGCTAGTGAATAACCTCGCGTTTCCGGAGCTTTCTTCTTCGAGATTCTCAACCGTTACTATTTTAAGATTTCGAAGAACTGTTCCCCTGTTCTTTTGTATTAAATAATTTCGACAGAACACGATTACTTCGAGTTTGATGTCAATCGAAGAACATTTTTCAACAGTACACTTAGCGGATAATTAGGCGCAAGTAATTTTTCAATGATTAATATGAAATCTGAAGTGACGACATTTTTCTTCTGGACTGAAGAGTTGGACAGGACATACATTGGAGTACCGGAATACTAGTACAAARTACTGTTCTCTATTATTGATTTTTGTCAGGAAGACCATAAGGAAAGTAAAGTCTGCTAAACGTTAGAAGTGTGAAACTATTTTGGTAGCCATTTTTTAGCGCCGGAGGTATTTTCTTAAGTACTGATGCCCCCATACAAAGTTCGATCACATTGTTGGACACAAAATGAAACTGCATGTTGAATCGTTGATTATGTCTACGTAGTCCTACCATCGATTTGGCAAAGTAAAAGATCAGTGAGCAAAAGTTTCAAGTAGATTTCTACKSGAAGGAAGGTCTGTGGTTCCTATTACAGGTTGTATCGTGGGAAGGAAAAGCGTGACTACCCGATACCGCGTATTGCTCAACAAGTTGAAATCATCTCTAGTTTAACCAATTTGTGTCTGCGATACGCTGCAATGTACTCTCTGGAATTGGCCCCCAGTGGCCTCGAGAACCACAACAAAGAATGTTGTCGGTCAAAGAAAAAAATCTCATTAAAAAAAGAAGAAACTTTAGCAAATCCCTTGGTAAAAAACGAGAATGGGAGCAGCAGCAAGAACATCGATCAGAGCAACGAAGATAAATCTGTTCACTTTTCAAGCGTTGACGTTCGAGATTACTCGATATGCCTTGGCGACAATCCGTCGGTTTCGAGAGGTGCTCCAATTTCATTGGATTGGGGCTATGACAAGGAGCAAACGTATGGAATAGAAAGTTATGAGTGCAGAAGATCCGAAGCTAGAAGGAACGAGGAAGAGTTAAAAATCCCGTCTCTCCAACGCATTCAGTTGCTGAAAGGCCTAGGATATTCAAGGGGAGAAATCAACGAGCAAACGAAGAAGACGGAACAAGATAAACAGCGCCGCTTCCGGACGCGGAGGAGAATCGATCGCGAAGACCGCGTGAAGGCTTTTGTTCGGAATAATTGTATATTAAACACTTTCCGGAAAATGCTGTCTAAACCAACACTAGGAAAGAACAAGACATTATGTGTGGGTGGCTCTCTTCAGGAATTTGAACCCGAATCCGATGGTGTAACTTTAGAATCTTCCATTTCAAGCACAAAATCTACGATAACAGCGACGGAGGATTGAGGACATCCCTTTTTTCGTTCAATTGCAGCTTGATTTGGGGTCAAAAGAGACGCATTGTGCCACAAGAATACATTATTGGATACATTGATGCTCTGCTGAGTCATTAAATTTTGTTATTTCACACTCCTAAGGGTGATAATGTTGATTCAATGACATATGCCTGTCCATGATAATGGGAAATGCACATGGCATGAAGTCTTAAAGAGATAGCTTAATAATTTACCCTATTAACTAGATAAAATAAAAAAGAAAGAGAACATTGGGTGGTTTGATGCATGTTGATCCATCATTCTCATTTGTCATTTCCTGGACAATTCACACGGCCAGTTCTCATCCATTTTATTGGTTTGCGCTATTTTGGCATCTGTCCCTCAACAAAACTGTTGGCTTCTGACATGACTCAGAACAAGCACTAAACTTTGCACATGTGATAAAATTCATATTGAGTGATTGAATTTTTTTAACTTAGCAATATCTAGTCAATTATTTCCAGCTAATGTGTGATTCCCATAAACATAGAATCTATGCTGACATACTTCAAGAATCAATGTCTATGGGAATGAGTATGTAAGTACATGGAATCTAAGATATTAAATTATGGCGTGCTACATGTGCTTAATTTTRGAACATGGAATTTTGCTTGAAATTAACAGAAAATAACTGCATTCTCAACAAAGATTGAGAACACATGGTACCAGCAAGGGCGCCAAAACAAAACAAATGCCAGGTGAACCATGAATAGTTCACTGACAAGGATTCTTATCTACTAGCTAGTATCCTCACTAAAAGGACATGGCATTGATTCCACATTGATTCCAGACACACACAAAAAAGCATTGATTCCGCAGCAACATTGATTCCTCAAGATGGTTTTAACAAGACAGAAACAGCAGCAACTGCCAGCGCCACTTGGAGCCAGGAGGACGGTACAAGCAACTAGCTACACCACTCAGGAAACCATTGACTTGATGCAAGCCATCTTATTAAGGCTTCCTATTGGGAGTAATCAGTGGGATGAAGTAGAAGCGACTCATGGTCAGAACTATCCTGATGCTAATTGGGATGTCTCCTCCATCTGTAGGAAGTATTGAACCCTTCATAGGAAGAACATCCCTACTGGAGATCGGTTGCAATGGTGATCCTGATGGTAATCATCAAGCTCCTCCTGGCAATAGAAACAACAACAACAACAGCAGCAGCAATGTTAGTTGTGACAGGAACAATGGCAACAACAATGCCAACACGGCAACAATGCTGACGCAAACACCAACAAAGACATGCCTCCCCCCCCCCCCTCCACAATTCCAGCAAAAAGCTTCCTCACAAGAAACAGAAGATTCACAACTTACTCGGCAGGAAGAGACTCAGACTACCAATGGCACAGTTGTTGCAATTGCAGTTGCCGATGCAACAGCAACCACAAGACAACACAAGGCAGTTGATTCCCTATGGCGCACCTTTTGCATTCCATTCCTGTGGAACCTTCTCATTCTAATCCAGCCTGTTGCCTCATCAACCATGTACATGTTGAACACTGGCGCATAGAGTGCCATGAGACCTCTGAASACCCTGTGGTCTACACCACAATGGTTTAGAAGGGCTTGCTTATTGCCAGAGCTAAACAAGTGGAGGGAAGGGACTGACTCCACTTCCTGATTACAATCCTCAGGGTTCCCCTATCCCTTTGATGCCTCTCTTCTGGAGACAGATCATTTGCTTCCCGGTCAAACTCATAGTAGAGAGCTAGACTAAGGATGATGAATTCTAGTGACATGGTGTTGGTGCTTGTTGAGCACAGTGATGGTATTTAATGATCCAGTGCCACTGTCAGCAAGCATCAATGTCCATTTGATGCTGCTACAGCTATCTTCTCCATCTAAAATCGTGACACTTTCGATTTGTTTTGGCACGCTTTGTGACACTTTAGATGGCTCCCCTGGCTCCTGGTGACACGTCAGTGACACTGTAGAACTCACCAGTGGTGACATKTYAGTGACACTTTAGATTTGTTTTGGGGCACCAATTTGGGCTCCCCCTGCTCTCATGACTTAAAGAATTTTTGAATCCTCAATTCCAAAAAAAACTATGTGTGCATACTTTTTGGTAGTTGAGAGGATGTCACTACCAAAAATCTATGATTCTATGACAGAAATTGCGTGCACAAATGAAAATTTTAGGTAATTACATAGATTCTATATTTACGGGAATCACCCAATATCATCGAATTAATGTGATCGAACAACACAACACCTCGTCTTGGTGAAACACATATTTACAATGAAAACAACTGTTCTCGGAACAAGGATAGTATGATGTATTTGATCATGTGACCAATATCGCTAAACCTTGCTCTTCATCCACAGAATGTTCACTGTACTTATATCGTGTTTCTTCTAGGGTTCAAGACGTCACAAGCTTCTGTCCACCATCTCGGGAGACTTCAGCTATAAGTTGTTCAATACGATCTGCTATTTGCAATGGGCGAACTTTCTTATCGTACGAATCAACAACTTGACCATTCGAGTCCACAAGAAACTTATAAAAATTCCATTTCACATGCTTATCTGGCTTCTGTTTCCGAATATTCTTATAGACCGGGCTTTCGTTAAGTGTACTCAAGCTAAATAGAGGAAAATCAACTTGCGGGAAATTCTCCTTCACGAACGAAAGGATTTCTTCATTGGACCCCAATTCTTGATGGAAATCACTAATTGGGAAAGCCAAAACCGAAAAACCCTTGCTACGGTACTTCTTTTGCAACTCGGCTTAACGTCATTGAGGTGCCCGGAAGTACGAGAACGAATTTGGGATGAATATATTCATTGCCAAGGAAAAGAGCCGAAAGAAAAATTAGTATTTATTGAAAGCGAAATATTGCGATCTTTATATCACCACCAAGGGCCAGCAACTCCAGACGAATCTTACATACCTAATTCGGTGTATGAAATGTGTGTCTTGCCTCACGAGCAGGCTACATTGACGATCAACGTAACCATTCCTCGGAAGCTAGAAAAGTTCACGATTTTGCCATGAATGTCTTCGACCTTCAGCTTGTAGAGCGAGTTTGGCGGAAGGAAATCATTCGCACTTTTAGTGTTGGAATTTCCCACTTTGTTTTCTCCGGGTATGTGGTGGTTTGATTGTTTTCGAAGTCTTCTTGGTACATATCTCTGCATGTGATTGACTCGAACCTTTGCTAATAGCCCGAGCAACGCTATTATGGCCAGGCAGCAAAAAATTGCTTTCGTTTGCGAATCTTTTTGACGTTTCATTTTCGATCCTTTATCGTTGTCATGTTCAAAGCTATCGAGTTCTGTCTTTCGCGCCGAAGACACCTCAGAAGGATTTCTTCGCAGCATTTTGTATCCACTGAATCCTCTTCCAGATTTTCGTTCTGTTGTGTGTCCGATGAGCAGACTTTCTTTCTTCAACTGTACTTATTGATTTCCCTCTGTTTCTTGTGCTGACATTCAGGTGTCATGTGACGAAGATAATATCACCGGGAGATACATTCGGACGTACCGTTACCTATTACAGTACCTATTCGAGAGAAAAGGGGTAGATGGGTGCGAAAACAAAAAATACATGCTTCTCTGATCAAATCTTCCATCAAAAAAATGTTAGTGGGTTCTTCTCCGGGATCTATCTATCGTAAGCGCGCGCAAATTCAGAACGCCCACAACTCATTAAGTTTTGAACTCTGGGGCGGGGGGTTGCAACATGTGAGGCAGTACCACGTAGTAAATCACGAGTAGATGGTGAGTGACAGCACTAACAGGCTCAACCACTCACTCCACTCACTCTTTATTGTAATCCCCATATTATAGTACGACACTAAAGAGTATACATACATTTTGCAGGTTATGAGCAACAATAGACCACATACCTCAGCTCATCACCATCATCAGCACTTAACTAGTATCATAGTAGTAGATTGATTTTCTATCCACCAGCACTCACCACACCTGGAGCACCGCCGCCTCAAACACAGCACCCTTTGAAGTGAGTCCAGACATCTGGTAGAATTTTTCAAACAGCAGAATTTTTGAAGAAAACTTGTACAAAATCACATAGACTTCTATGGTATGGATTTTCAGAACACTGGTGTCAACCAGCACCTGCCACCAACCACATAACAAACCCAACAACAGACCATCACAATGGCACCACCAGTTGGAACCAGCCGTGGTGGACACCGAAGACCACCWCCACAGCAGTCAAAATCACTGACTATTGGAAGATACCTTGTAAAGACACACCCATGGATGCCACCAACCACAAGGAAACTCCAATTCCTCCCAAACGATGGAACAATGCAAAGAGAACTTAGAGCCCTGGAAAGAGTATTCCCCCCAACTCAACCCCAGCAATCTATGATAATGAACTCTTTGCATTCAAACCTAGACAAGCTACATTACTCATCTTACAGTGGTTCACACAAAAGAACTCAACTGCATAGACAAACTAACAGCACTTGGAGACAACCTGCAGGAACTGCTACATCGGAACCACTTTAAAATCATTGACAAAGACACAATATACCACTACAGCATTGCATTTACATGGACTCAGTGCTTCCACCAAACAAGCAGTCCCAGCCTGATGCTAGTCCAAACCTCCCCCACACCTGGCAGACAGTCCAGATCCCCCCTCACAGGCGGAGATCCTACTCAACAAAAAGAAGAACCAACCACGTCCCTCAATTAGTGACAGTGAATCGTCCATCAGCTCCCTTGACATGCCACCAGCTGATCTTATACAACAATTTGCATGAGAACAGAAGAAGCAACAGGAAGATCAGGAAGACAAATAGGAGGATCAACAGACATCAGATAGACCCTCCTCATCTGAAGACATWACAGACCCCGGCAAGACATGAAGTGTTGAAGACAGGATTGCCCAATATGAAAAGCAATATGAATCCATTGATAATGAAATCCAATACATTAAAGACAGCTTTGAAACAACATCCCTATCTAAAGAGACCCCACCACAAACACTACAGGACCAATTGCAAGCAAATGACACCAAGTGGACAAATCACCTCAAGATGATTGATCAGTGTATCCATCAACTGCAACAGGGATATGAATAGCTCTTCAAACCACATCAACTGAACTCAACACAACCAAGGAAGAAGCTCTTAACACCACAAAAGCAAAACTGGAAACTGTAACTGCAGATCTCCAGAAAGCTTTAACAATAGTCAACACTTTGAAGGATGAACTACACTCCCAGACAAATAACATCCACAACATCACCACAGACCTCCAAAGCAATTKAAACGCAGTGGCAACCACCACATGGACTTTAGATCAACACACCACAAAGCCACCACAATCCTTGCCACACTCAAAAATGAACCATCCAGCTCAAACATCTTTGTGATAAAGTTAGCACCATCACCTCCAGAACACTGACACTCATAACAGCAGAACTAACCAAAAAGCTCATTGACATTGTAGAACAAAGTACAGYAAAGTTGAAGGAGCGCACAAAAACTATAGAACTCCAAGTAACCATCACAGTCCTTGAGCAAACTAGGCTCATAGAATCCACACTTGAAACAACAATCCAGGACATTATCCACAACAAGTTGGAACACAAAGCCCACAAAGTTCAAAGCCTGAAAGACACATTTATCTCACAAGCTAAACAAGAGATAATCTCACAGGCAAGTGAGATGATCAAGGAGGTTAACAACAACCTAACCAAAACAAAGAACAACCAAAAACAAATCTGCAACAATCACCTCAAGAAACTTACATCACAYTAACAAGACATCACCCTGGAAATGGACCAATCAGCCTCAGCAGCACAAGAATCCACAGCCATCACTAAACACATTGCTGAAGCTGACATCACTCGCACTGTCCAAGAACAYCTGGAAACTGATCCTTCTGTGGAAGAAACAATCAATAACCAAATCAAATCATCCATCAATACACTGGTTGCCTCCAACAATTTCTGCACAAATATTGATACAACCATTCATGCCTATTTGATCCACTCACCCACCCTAAAGGATCTAATCCACCACCAAGTACATGATATTATATCAAGCAACAACCACAGTTCCCCCCAACCAAAAGAAACAGGAAAACAAAACAAAAATCAGCACACTCACACCAAACCCTACCAAAAGAACTCACCAACACCTGGTCCTAACTTACCATTCAACACCAGAGGAGACAGCGACCAAAACTTTGATGTTTTCACTGACAGAAAGCACCAAATATGGGACAAAAAGTTGGTCCACTACCACAATCAAAGGATTAGCAAAACAATCCAAGCTATGGACTTCAAGGAACTCAACCACAATCTCATTCTGACAACTTAATCAGTACCTTACATCCAAGGAATACACTGCCATATACAATGAACTGTATGCATGATGCAACTAGAGAGCCTTCCCCTAGTTCCTCTGGATGATCTCCCAGATCTGGGAACATGTATCCCAATGAACCACACAGCAGAGATGGAAGAGAACATCAAAAAGATTGGGGCCTACATATATTGCCGCATCTTGCGCCTCCTTCCCCCAGAACACCTTCTCCTACTATGTGGCCTCATCTCCCAATTTGCCCAAAATAGCAGGGGCTATGATGCCCTATATGCCCTTGCATGCCACTCCTTGGAATACTTCAAACCCACCCAAAATGGATGGGGCCAGAGTGGACAACTAATAATGATCCAGGCACATATGTTGAAAACTACAGGATCATGTTGCACATGCAGACTAAGCCGCAACCACACATACACAGAATTTGAACAAAGCCATGAGCCATTGACTACTCACACCAAATTTTAAAAACAAACCAGTACCAGAACACCTGCGTCTCACTGCCCTTACCAACTTCATCCTGGATCACCCAAACATCACCACTCCAGTGGCCCAACAACAGTCTCCAACAATTATATCACAAAACTGGATGTAACTAAATGCAAGAAATTTGAATCCAAAAACAAAGTCCAATGCAAATGCTGCAAAACTTATGGCCACAACATCCGTGACCAATCTGCCGGTTTGGGGCACAGATGTGCTTTGCTCAAAAGTATGCATCAACACAACCAATGGACTTTCAAAACAATGCAGTCAAACACAACAAATGTATACTCAGAAGGTTGTCAAACACTTTGAGAGCACACTGAAAGGACRRCATATCACACAAGAGGAACATAAGCGCAAACACGAGGACCTAGCCCAACTCTTCTCACCAGTCACTCCRGACAAGGAGCAGGATGAACACTGTGTTCCTAGCAGAGTTTGGCCTACTAAACATAATCACAACCCCCCATCATTGAAAGACTTCATGTCACAAAACAATTTTGGATCACAACAAGTGGACGCCCAAGGAATCCCATTCCCAAGAAATTCCCACACAATAATGATATCTTCACTCACTGCTGCATACAGGATAGCACACTCACTAACCACATAACACTCATCACTCCACACAAGACTATCACCAAGCTTAATCCMCAGAACTCAYCATTGTCACCAACAGAATGTAAACCTCAAACTACAGCAAAAATCAGTACTATAAATACAGCTCACGCTACAGCTCACYGGGCAGRCCTGCGATACAGAACAAGATCAGGGACAAGCAAAAACCCAGCGCAGTACTAATGATACGCAAAATCCATGCAAAACCCACCCCCATGCAAAAATATACATTGCATAAGCAATGAGGACCAATCACAGAACATACATACTAGGCTTGATACTTCAAAAGCATACTTATACACTCTACAGACAGACCTAACAACCAAACAATATGAGCACTGCAAAAGACACTCAATATACAGACATGGGTATTGTATAGGCTTGGCCAGCCAATGTACGGTTTAAACCTTGGATTCGTGGCCATCTAATTACCGTGTAACGACTCGTGGGATTAAAAATTGGCTTGTACTGCAGTGTACAGCCGTGCACATGCTGAATTTTTGAGTCCCACAAGTGTGCGACCAAATAGTTTTGAATCCCACCAAAATAGTTTCGCGCGCACGTGCTCAACCAACAATTTTGGCTTCGAACACATGCAAATTTTTAATGTGGGACTCAAATCCGTTGAGTCGAAGCAGTCTTAACACGGTAATTAGATGGCAGCTAATCCACGCACACGTATAATTTAACCGTATAACTGTTTTAATCTTGAACTGACAGTCTGGGCTGTAACTTTTTCCCCAACGGACRCTTAAGTATGATAAGCACATGGTTGAAAAGAGAATTCAAAGAGCTTTCTAATGGCGTGGGGGAGTACGGCGTACGACGAATATTGACTTATATTCGTTTACGTATATATTGAATTGCTAATGTATGGTTTAAACCGTGCTTTTTTGCGTGGCCAAGCCTATACGATAAATGAATATTCCCTAAATGGGAACGACCTAACACCTTTTTCATGATTCTACAACAACTCACCTGCATCAGAGTAGTACGATACCCGTCACCTGTACATGCGTATGCCACAATACTACACACTTAGGAGAAACATGTGCAAACGCATACTGATACAATCTATGCATAAACTATTGAATCAATCCAAACAGTAAGCCTCAACAATGGACTCTGGTACACCTCCAACAATGTCCTGGTTGTCAATGAATTGGAAAATGTCCACATTGCCAAAGTACTGCAAAAATATGAGACACTAAGAACAAGCAAGATTAACCACCTCAACCATGATGAAAGTTCAGATGCAATGAATAATCATACACGCACCAACCACCCTAGTCAAAACAAAGAAAGTAGTTGATGGGATGCCACCTCTACCAACTTCTACACCATTCTTTTGATGCCCCTTCTGTGAAAAGAGCAAACTAACAAAATGTTCCGGACAAAAAGACCACCAAAGGAAAAGTTCATACCCATGCAGTCACTCCATATGGACCTCTCCTTTCTTGTTACTGGACCACCAAATCTCAAAGGCATCCTAACTAACAATGACAAAGCACTACTGCCCTTGAAAAAGAGCYGCCAAGGCCACATTGGTTTTCTAACCATCATAGATGCTCCCACGTGAGCACTATGGACATTTCCCCTCAAAACTAAAGAACCACCTCTAACTATTCTAGATCAATTCCTTACCAAACATGGCATCAAGACCACTGACACATGCAAAGCCATCATCACTACTACAGGTGATGGCTACCTAGTGCAATCCCAAGCCTTCYGCAAAACGGCCTGTGAACATGCCTACACTACCAACCCCAAAGATAAGTCATACATCCTGGATCTCCTACCACAACACCTAGACTCCTGCACAGTTATGAATGATGGCGGGGGTGAGCTAGCCAATTCAAAAGACTTTAAATCTACCATTCATTGTCATGGCTATGACTCACTCAAGACTGCAGCAGATGCATCATCCCAAAATGGACTATCAGAGCATCCACACCAAACCCTCAAGGAACGCATCCAGTGCTTGCTTTATGCAGCTGGTCTTTGAACTGAATACTGGACTGATGCAGTACTACATGCAACATGGCTGTATGAGCAAACCTACCACAACACTATAGACATGACACCTCTACAGCTCTACACTGGAAAAGTTCCTCTAGTAGACAATTTCATAACTTTCAGAAGCAAAATCACAGCAAAATGACCAGGCACTAGACCAACAACAACACACCCATGGACTTATAATGAAATAGTCCATGATGGAATATTCCTTGGATATGGACCAACTACTGACAATATCAAATACTGTAATTTACACACCAGAACAGACAAGATTACCCAACATGACTCTAAAGACAAACTACAGTATGGAGACAATCCAGCAAACCAATCCCCTGCAGCCTCCCACCTTATGGAGACATTCATGGAAGGTCGCAGCAAAGAACACACAATCCAGCAAACCGATCCCCTGCAGC